CATCTTCCTTCCTTTTGGCTTATCAGCTTCACACACAATACTAGCACCTATGGATTTGCAGCCTTTTTTCAGTTAAAAAAAAAAAAGTTAGATGATGCTCCTATTTTTTAATGAAACAATTCCAAGCTTTATCTTTTTACGAAGCTTACACATGGTGGCAAACTAAAACATTTCAACTGTTAATAATAAAGAGTATTGATTGCCTTCCTATCTGCTGTGCTACCCCAGTCATTAATTAGTACAGGATAATTATTCTGGTAAGCTGAGAAGAGGCCATTATTTCATATCTATTTCCTGATATACTACATTAGAATAAGATTAACAGGATTTCCACATAGTCAAATGTGTGTCAGCCATGTAGAAGAATCAACTGAATTGCACACAATGATGACGATCTAAAAGGCCACAAGTGCAGAAGGACTCCCATTGGTTGAATATGAAAAGGCTAAACACCATGGCTGGGATCCAGAAAAACTACTTTAGGCAAGCCTGGGGCTTTGGTATGCCCAATGTTGTTGTTGTGTGTGCATTTTTACAGTTCTCTTTGACAACGCAAGCTGTGTGACAAGCAGCATCTGAAATGTCCCTCTGTTTCCATCTAGCATGGAGGTCTGTGGCTTTAACCCACACCTTGGATACATGAAATTAGTCCTGTAGTTCTTTGAATAATACACTGCCACAGGCAGGGCTCTTTTTCAAAAACTGACAATATGAAAAACCTGGTTGCATATCAACCCATTCTTCTTCTGTATCAAAGCCAACAGGGGCCATCAAGCAACATTTAAGTATGCTTAAATCTCAATGGAATCCAAGAATTCAGGATGCTGTTCTAGGTACCTAATAGCCAGTCCTATGCCTGTTTATTGAGAAGCAAGTTCTTAACAAGTGTATATAGGAGTATAATATATAGTTCTGAGTAAACAGAAATATGGCAGAACAGTTGTGTTCTCTAATTTGTACTGGAAGAAGATCTAGGTCTACACACTGAAGAACGCACTTTGGATAGGAATATTAGGCAAATATCAATTTTTTCATAATTCACATTTTGTGCTAATATTATTGTTGTTTCTCTTCTTTGGATGGTATACAAGTCCTAGTAGCCACTTCTCTGCCTTGAATTAACAAGTTTGTTCAACTTCCTGGTCACACGAATGCCATCAGAAGCCTCCATGATTTGCAGAATTAGAGAAACTGCTTGTGTAAACAGTAGAACGGAAGAGTATTGGAAGACATTTTATCCCACCTAGATAGGCAGATTAACACTCTCTCTCAAGTTGTAAGAGCATCTTATACAAGATCACTGAGTCACAGACTATGTATTACACTTGTCATAGGAACGGCATTGTCATTTGCTCATCCACTGCCTTATTTAGTGCAACCTACTGCATGAGCTGGCACAGATCATTACCCAGCACATACGGGAAGTTGTACTATATCAGCTTTCCCCAACCTGGTGCCCTCCAGATATTTTGGATTATAGCTCCCATCAGTCCTGGCCATGGCCAAGAATGATGGAAATTGCAGTCAAAAGCATCAGGTGAGAGAAGGCTGCACTGAATAATATGGACAAATTTGAATGCTGATCCACCTGATGAATGTAGTATCTATAAAATGTACAATATAAAATGTATTTACAACTGTATAAAAGCATGCACTTGATATACCTTTGGGACTCAAGGTAATGAACTGACCAGTTACATACTTCAAACCGTGATGCCCCATGCTAAGCATTAAACAGCTTGTGATGCCATTTGTAACATCTCTGCCATACTACCAGAGTGACATGCTTTGTCACATTATGCTAGCACAGCTCTTAGTATACAGCCCAGTGTAAATTACCATGTGTTAGTATCTCAAAAATGATGTAATGTAGCCATCATAACTCATACTTTTAAGAGCCTTTCAAAGAAACATGCACATTAACACAGGACACATCCAAATTTATATTGTATTGACACATGATATCTATGGTTTTTTTTAAAATGAAGAATTAAGTTTCCAAACACAGTAATTCAATTAATACAGGTAACTTATTTAAAAAGAAACTTATATTTAACTTTGTTTGGATGACACTGTGCCAGTATAGTTGATTTCTTAAAATGTCTTCATAGCCAACTAGCTGAGTTGCTGTTTTTTTTAAAAAAGCAAGGGCACTGCTAAAATTAAACAGCTGGATGTCAATGACATGACACCCAGATGCTGAAAACTACAGTACTGAGAAAAATTAAGGAAACTGTGCTATCCTGTTGGATGCAACATAACTTTGTTAAGCAATTAACAAATATTTAACTGGAAATTATGTATGTCCTCTTGTCTGACAGGAATAAACTGGACAAACTCAAGAATGGTTTTAGAAAACGGACATTTTTAAAACTAGACAGGTGAATTATGTCAAGCCACTCATGTGTTTATGCTACATTTTCTCAGTCTGTCAGTTGGAAGTATCCTATTACAGAAGAAATTGGTTCAATTTCTAATGCAAAGATGAAACTCAGTTTTTGGACTGAATCATACAGGTTAGAAACTGGCCAGCCATCTGAATGGGATGGTGTAACTTGATGTCCTGCAATAGCAGGGGGTTGGACCCAATAACCTTCTTGGCCCCTTCTAACTTGACTAGTCTATGATTCTATGAATGTGCTCAAAAATCAAAATCAAATCATATATGTAAGAATGTGAACAGCTGCTGACCAAAACAGCTTCAATCTGAACACAACTCTCATCTTGATATGCTCATAGAGACAGGGGAAAGTATATTTGAATAGGTAGTTGTGTTCATTCTTCATCACTGCAAGATTGCAACTCTATGTTGTTTGCTCAGAAGTCAACCCAAATGTGTTCAGTAGGGCTTTCTCTCTACAGCCTTAAATTTCATTGATAATTATACATAAAAGTCAATATGTACTTAAAGCCAGGCCTGAACAATTAAAACGCCTGATGTTGTAGAGGAAAAAAAAATCAGCTGTGTATAATAACCTATCAAGTATCTGATAAATCTCTCTCTCTTTTTTTTTTTTTTTTTTGCTACCTGGCTAAAACAACTAGAATAAGGAGGCTGAAAATACCTCGTGGGCTGCATTCTGTTTATTGCATCATAGTTAGCTCCAAATCACTATAACTTTAAATTGGGCAATGTGGTCAATGATACCACGCACCTTCTCAGAGTTATATATAAGCTAGAAATGCCTTCTAATTTGCATATTTAGATCACTCACAGATCATTTAAAAAAATAAAGCAAATGCTATATTTAAAGGACATTTTGTGTTATTCCACAATGTTCTTAATTCAACATTAGATTAGAACATTCCACAATGCTCTTGATTTAGAAATGTGGACATAAATCCATTAAAAAAACTTTATGTAACTATACAAATTCAACAGAAATGATTTAGGGCTTTCTCCTGTCTCCTAACTTCCAACTGTAGCAGTTTTACTAGTCGCTTTTCAAATGCATTCAGATTATATGGGATGAAAAAAATGTCCATTAAAATATACCCATCTGAAGAATTCTGCTATTTCTCAGCTTTTTGCTTGTAGCTTTGTGAAGTTCCCATCTTTATTTCCAAAGGCCCAGCAAACGGAAAAAACCAAACAAACAAACTAGTTTTCTAAGTGTAGCATATACAAAATAAACTTCAAATGGCCAATAATCCTTATCGTTCAAACAGAAATGGCTGAATTAGTTACTCAAACAGCTACAAAACTGGTCAAGTATCTGTGCATGTTCAGAGAATCTCAGCTGCCTGACTCATGCAAGTAACTGCTTGCTAAACTGAAGCCGCTTAGAGAAAGGTTAACTAATGGGGACAGATTGTACTGATGTTCTTCTCATCCTCCATAATGTCCACCAGGCCCAATCTATCATTAGATACAAAACTGGATTTTCTGGAGAAGAAAGAAGACATCAGCAGTCCTATGCAAGCAGGCTGTAAAATGGCCTAAGTAGAGATTAAACTGACCAAAAGTTTGGTGAATGAAGGAACAACAGGCCAAGGAATTCTAATGTACCCATTATACCAAAATTGTTCAGCAGCAATTTTATTCATACAGGAGTGCCAACATACACACAGAACTCTTGCACATGAAAGGGGTCTCCCATCTGCTTTGACAGAGAAAAACTCAGCATATGCAGAGCAGATTGGGGGGAGGGGGGAGAATCCTGCCTTCCTAGAAGTGAATGGAAAAACCTGAAGTCCCACAGTTCCAGGAAGAAGCTAGGAGTGTATATAATGGTATTCTCAGTTCAGTTGTCATTTTTTTCTCTTAATCAAGACCACATTCCAACACAGAATGAATCACAAATAAGCCCACTCAAAGCAACAGACTTAAGTAAATTGAGCTACATTGTGCTCCAAATCTATATTAGTAAAGGCGTACCCAAAAGATGTAAATATCACAGAATGTTCATAGGTGAGAGATGTATAAATATATTTTTAGCAGCCTTTCCTAATTTGTTGCCCTCCGCATGCACTGGACCACAACTTCCACTGTTTCCAGCCAGCTCAGCTGCAGGATAGTGAGAGCTGCACTCCAACACAAATAGGACACCAGGTTGAAGGAAACTACTTTATAGTTTCTTTTTCACAGAAAAGCACTTCATGGTTTAGAAAATTTTCATACATTGTTAAGGCTCTTCTGTCTTGAAAGGAACCCAGACATATATTTTCAGCAAACAGTGCACATAATCCAGGCAAAACCAGCTGCACCATTTTCAGCTGGATGGAAAAGAGAGGAAAAAAAGATGGGATATAAATATAGTGTTGTCCTCATCATCAATTCTCCCTTAATTGAAAACAATAGGATAAGGAATGCTCCACCTTGGATGGATCATGCTAATATTAAAAGACAAAAGCAAAATGGAAGACCTGTGTATTGTGATATGCAAAGAGAACCCAGGTAAAAGGTGATCTAATAATATTTATGGGAAATTATTTCTATTGCAAAAGAAGTATAACCTATGAAAAGCAAACACTGACAAATACACAACAACATATCTGTATAATGATGGTAAAGTGAAACTTGTATTTAAATGAAGGGAAAATGATATTCTTGCAGTTGGTAAACTTTCATTAATACAAATATTAAGCAGGTTGCATTTGTTGGCTATTCACATTATTGCTCTGCTACATGAAGAACAGGCCCTTAATATATGTTATAGTTCATGTACATTGACATCCCAAAACCACACTTTTTCAGATATTACCGCATTAAGGAGGCATTAAACATAATACATGACGATATGCACAGCCAAGAAACTAAAACCTGGCCTAACTGAAACATACTATCATATACTCAATAGTTTAAAAATGCTTTCTTGTGCAAACTATACAAACAGGAAACAGAAAGCTAACTGTGTAAACAAAAAAATAGAACAGAAGCTGGGATGCTGTAAATATTACCCAAAATATTCAGTATGCTATTCAGCCAAATAATCAGTATTTGATTTCCACATCCGATAAACAAATGTAAAAATCAAGGCATTGTTAACATGCCCATAGCTTCTGGCACAATGTTGTCAATGTTTTAGATATAAAGGCGCTGCCTCTAAAAAGGAAAATAGGAAAATAAAATATTAGAAAGTTAAATTGCACTTAAATCCCAATGAAATTAATAGGAATTTTAAAAGTTAGTCACCACTAACTTATCCATTGATACTACTGGGACTTAAGAACAGCCAACTTTCTTTAACTGGAGCCAAAACTTGTAACTCTTAAAATGTAAAATTGAAAAGTATTCATTTAACATATATATTTCTGACAATCTTGCATCCTTTTGAATTATTAGATGTGGTAAACAATAAAAACAGTAAAGCTGTTACATGGCATTAGCCACAATACATACACATACTTTAGTGTGTGCAAACACACTCTCCCTCCCAAACAAAATATTGGTCTTTTTAAAAAGTAAATAAACAAATAGAGAAACAAACTATGATTAAGAGATTGGGAACAGGTTACAAGTTGCATCCACCACTCCAATCTCTTAGCCACAGCAGGGTTGACCATGGCTGTACACACACCAACCCTCTGTGAAGTACTAGTGATTTTTATGATCCTGAAGAATATTATCCATTGGTCACATGCAAATCTACCATCAATTATTCTAACAGAATAATAGCAATCTTATTTCAAGATTCTTGGGGATGAATATCCTTATAGCAATGGGATTTCTTCATGGGATAGGAAAAAATGTCAAGGTGAACCAATGTTTGGATTTCAAGGAGTTTATCAAGAAATGCTGCTTGCCTCCTCACAAATGACTGACTTTATGTTCCAAAAAGGTAGAGAAGAAAAATGGATATATACAAATATATCACTGGCAAAATAGCAGGGATTCAGAGAAGATGCAAGTGCATAAGTTGGTGATTGCCAATTTTCACAATTTACAGATGTGTATCTTAGGGTTCAAGATAATTTTTCATCTATAGCTATTTGTGGTTGAATGTTTATAGCTGTGTGTGTGTAGAGAGAGGGAAGGAGGGAGAGAGAGAGAGGGAGAGAGAGAGGAGAATCAGGACTCATTGACAACAAAAATAAGACAAATAACTTAAATCACACTGACATTTGCATTAAATGACTTCTGCAGAATTTGACATAATGCACTTTGAACATGCTGTTATAAAGAAGGGGAGAGATAGAGATGGGAGGGAGGGAGGGAGAGAATGAAGAACACCACAAGATTCTGTAGAACCAACGCTGTATCACCACCAGGAGAGCACCAAGCAAGGCACCATTGGAAAAAGACAACATACTTGGGAAGTCTCTAGGTAAAATAAATGCTAATCTGGTCGGAAAATTGGTGTCTTTGGTAAAAATTCTATAAGAATGACCTGTGTAAAAAGGAAAAAAATACATTTAGTAAATTGAAAGCACTGCCCATTTTAAAACAACTCAGCAATCTCTTAAACCTTTTATTGTGACAAATGAATAAATATGCCCATGACTATCCTACCTTAAGGCACAGCTAAGAGCTTATGTGTACCCAAGAGTATTTTGACTTTGAATGTGGGGCCTCAAAGTTTCATGAAAACCTATTTTTGAGATTCTACTCAGTTGTCATTAAGAAGGGTCAGAGATACATAGAAAACGACTTTATATTCAATCTGACTATTTGTCTGTCTAGCCAATATTGTCAGCTCTTTTGAGGAGTACCTCTTCAGCTCTTCAGGCACATGTATTTCACATACTCTTCTACATGTTCCCTGTATTATAGATACTGGCAATTGAACCTAGAACTTCTACATGCAAGGATACACTAGTAGCCAGGCAGTCAGTACTGACCACGTATCCTTCTGGCAACCACCTCCCCTTGGGAGTCCTCTGCAAATGTCACGGATAGGAAGGAGTTTCTCCTTTGCTGATGAAAGGGAAACATGACCTACCTCGAAACTCAGAGGAAAGGGTGTCTGTTTCATTTCACACTTAGGCTTTAGTAATTTAAATAGAGAAACACAGCTAAAAAGATTGTCGTTATTTTCAAAGCTAGGCACTTATTTAAGGACTGCTCTTCTCCCAAATCACAGAAAGCAAAGTGGGACTATGTGCTAATGAGTAACAACCAGAAATAGTGCCCATAGGAATGGTGAGGGTGTTTGAGAAACACATATTTGAAGTCCTCCCTGGGTACATGGAAATAGTTCCCCTATTCTTTGCATCCTGGCTTGTAACTATACACATTGTTCACTCATGCATTTTTGACAGACTCAGTTGTTTGATTCACAGATTTTACTCAGGTAAAGCACACAAAGAAATGTAACTACGGGCCTTGAAGTATGTAACTACTTGAAATGACCAAGAACTTTTGTTTCTCAAACAGCCGCATACGCATGCCCTGCATAGCAAACTGCCTGTGGAATTGAAAGCGGTTTCACAAACAGTTTCAAAGGAGAAGCAACAGTGGGATCCAAAGAGATTGCCTAAAGCAAAGGGCATGATGCCTGCCCCACATTCCACATACAGAAGCTGACATAGCTAGAGAATAATCTGATTTCACTGCTGTCAACAGGACAGCATCTTCTGCTAAGACCAGTCCTAAGGTAGCCTTTACCTGAGGGCAGGAATTTTTATCTTAGGACCAAGCATCAGTTTCTGTGGCACACACAACTTTGCCCTCCAACACATTTAAGGTGCCATCCACACATGCATAATCTGAAGCAATGCCTCACTCTGCCTAATGCAGCATTGGCCCTGCCAGCATTTCTACATCCAGACCCCTCCCTACCTGGGCCACAGTTCCCTCATGGCACCCCAAAAATTTCTGAGCCACTTTTCTCTTTTTTTTTAATGAAACCTGAAGTGACTAAGGAGCCAGAATTAGCATGTTTTCAAGCTAATGTTACCCTCCTGTGCATCATAAGAGCAACAGAGTACTCAAATGGCACCAAAATAAATAAAAATCTCAAAATAGCCAACTGGAGAACCATTTTCTTAAAATACACATGCATACTTGTGCAGGGAGCAAGATTGGCAGGGGCTCCAACTGGAGCTGTATGCAACCCACAAGCACATTACCTACTCCTGTGCCCCAAAATTTGTGAAATAAAAGTAAAGCTGCTCGAAGATTAGATCACTTAACACTCAATCAAAATTAAGTTAAACTTTCAACTTCAAATATTTTCAACACTATTTTCATCCTAGGCCCACCTTTCCTTTCCTTTTCCACTTGTATTCCTGTTAAGAAAGCAACCTTTGAATACCATCTCTCACATAAGAAAAACTTGTTCTAAGTTTAACTGTGACTATATAGCACGATCAACTTTATGCAGTTAGTTTGGTGGAGGCAGGATGGTTTTGGGCACAACTTATTAAGCGATCTACTAGAGTGTCTTGGGGGATAGTGGAAAGGAAGTTATATTAAAACCATGTTCTCTCAAAGTTCAAAACACTACACATGACCTGATGATCAGTTTATTCCACCTTCTCCAGTTTACTCCAGCTTCAGAACCAGGTGAAACCACAAAAATACAGTGTGCTTATCATGCTGTTTTTTTTGCAAAAGCAGTGCTCCTGCAATTTTCTTATTTACTACCCTTTTTGGTACTGTCAAAGCTTAATACCCAGCTAGCAGTAGGAATATAACAATTTAAACTTTTGCATGACAAGTTTTATATTTGAGAATCACTTACAGGAACACCATAGAGTTGAAATGATTCAGATCTGCTATGTTGATTAAGTAGTAGTGTTTAAATACATAGTTGCTCATAAGAATTATAGTCTAATCCTATGCACATTTACTTAGAATCCTGTGGGTTGGAATTCTAGTGGGTTGAAATCTGAAATTATCTCCCCTGAACATAAAAAGCTTATTCTAACAGGAAAAGTCCTTCGGTTAAAGAAAAGGAACCTTTAGATTCAATCCGCTAATGGTGTACCATTGTAAAAATACTTAATATATTAATGTCATGGGCCAATCCAGCAATTGATCACATTCTTACTAGTCATGTCATAGCAAACACTTTCTGCACTGGTCCTGGGAATGAATTGCAAACTTCACATTGCTTCAGTGGGCTTGAATACTACAATTTTAACTTTTATTGCCACCTTAACACCTTGAAGGAAAATTATGATTTTAGTTAGAATGTGCCCCCATGTATGTGCTTAAGACTACAGTTTTTAAGTGCAAGTGGGGTTCAAAAAGGGCAGAAACATTCAGTAATTAAAATACAGAAGTGAATTCTTTTACGCAGGCCAACCTCAAAAACCTGTGTCAAATTTCCTTTCTTGTCTCCAATTATTGCAAAGTTACCATGTGCCTCTGATCATAAATTAACATGTTCACTATAATAGATGATCATAAATTAACATGTTAAGTATAATAGATGTTAAAAAGAAACAGTTTGTTGAATAGAACTACTCTGCAAAAAAAGGCATTTTAGGAAGGCTTTTATGTTTTAGGCTAGATATAGGCCTTAGTATTTCCCCCTTTCTTCAGTACTAACAGAAAAGATGATTTTAAGATAATTTGTAACTATTTAAGCACTGTTTTAAATCAATCTTCTAACATACTGTCTGTAATGCATGTATTGTGCTAAATAATAGACAAGATATATAATTAAAAAGCATGGATTAGTTAGAAATAGCTAAAGCTAGATGCTTCTCAGGGTTAGTCTTAATTTGTTAACCCCTACTTGTATCCAAATTTTGGTACAATTACATATTTTGCAGTATACATTTGTTTTAAACTGATAAATATTTTATTAAAGTTATTTTGCTAGAACTCCAAGAAAAAAATTAAAGCACACTAAGTAAAATGATATAAAATTACATGCACTGATAATTTATGTATGCTTGAGGGGAGAGATAGAGAAATGAGTGAACCCCACAGAAAGTCTAAAGCAAACTGTATTTCCTGTTTAGAACTAGGGAATAACAGCAAAACTCTACACATTTCCACTCCCTCCTTACCATTCAGGCTTTAAAAGCAGGGTGAAGCTAGTAAAGTTCAAGCTACTTTCAAGACTCCTGAAGTATGGAGGCAGTTAAAATCTGCAACATCTAAAGGTTTCCTAAGCTCCAGCAGCTTAGTTGAAAGGTCTCTTTCCATACACCGAGACTCGATTAGCATGATATAAAAACAGCCCACATCTAACTCACTGCGTAACCAAAGTTGCAGTTATTCTTTTTATGCAGCATCTGAAAATTTCACACTCCATCAACACACGTTCAACCCATTTTATCTTGGCAATTAATTTATTATTTTTTCAGGACACAGTGAAGCCTTGTTTTCAAGTCATTCATAACTTTATAAATCAGCCTTGTGCATGAAACCATACATCTGTGAACCGTAGAAAATCCTTGCCACTCAGGCGATTAAGCTCTTGACACCTTTGCTGATTAATAATCATGGAAAGAATAAGATCAGAAGCAAAATAAATGATCATTTAATAGAGAAACGCACAAAACAGCCCTTTAACTTACATATTCCATCATGTTATTCGATTCACATTTCCTTTTGCTTAGCCTCCAATGCAAGCACAGCTAGACAACAGGGAGAAAGGGGGGAAAGAAAAATGAGCTGTATTTTATTGCCGGCACAGAGACTAGCCCATTTGTCCACCTTTCATATTTCGCGTTCAACAAAAGCATCTGTTTCCATACTGTGCAATTCAGGCCCCAGCAGTACGAAGCTGCTCCCTGCGGCACTCACCTTGTGGTATAACCTATTGTTTTCCCATTCTAATAACTTCTCAATCGATCTTCGTGTCTGGAAGACAAATGAGAAAGAATTTTACTCTTGGGTAGTTTTAGAAAAAAGTTTGTTTTGCAGCTGCCTTTGTGTGGAAAAGGTGGGGGGAGAAGAGGTAAAGGACACACACATATTCAAAGATGTGCATTAATACCATTTTCAACTACTTTTAACAAGTTTGTTCATTGCACTGCCAAATAAGCCAATTTAGATCCACTGAAACTATTAAATAACCTTATAAAATGAATTGCAGATCAAGAATGGAAAGTTTCCATATGCATTTCATAAACAGTAGTATAACTGTGCCACATACAAAATACAGTATAATGCCATTGACCAAATTACCATGTTGGAGCTCTGAATGTATCATTTCACATTTAAAACTTCATAAAGAAATATGTCTGGAATATTCTGAAATCCATATGTCAGTCTGTTAAATATAAGTTTTCCAGTTTTGATAAAAGTATTTAAATCCCCTTGCATCAAACCTATCATTCTAAAGATGCAGTTAGTGTTCCAATTTACTTATATTTGCATGGTAGAAATGCATATTGCTGTTTATGGTCACTTGACAGCCATATCATCAACCACTCAGCAGTGAAATGGGATTTACTAGTCCTTATGAATAAGAGAGGATAAATCACGACACCAGGTGTTGAGATGAGACCAGCATTGCAGGTGCAAAAGCATGGATCACTGAATCTTGTGGCAAATTCAACTTCGTACAGCTGCAACTTCCTTACAAGGCAAAAAGAAATGGGGGGGAGAGGGGGGGAAGCATCTTGCACTTCAACTACTTTTGATAAACAAGAGATACTATAAACTTCACACTGGTACAGCAAGCATACTTTTTTTAAAATAGTATGTAAACTCATCACCAAACTTACTGAACATATTCCCCCCCCCGGGGTGGGTGGGTGGGTGTGTGTGTGTGTACACACACACACAGAATTCTTCTTATTTGCAACAATTCCAAGAGCATAAACCTGAACTGTGGCAACATGAAAGAATCAACTCTGTTGTGCATGAATAATTATCCATCTTTACCTTTTCATGGTTTCTAAAATTAAATGGATTCCCAAAAACTCTTGAGGCACTTTTTAATAGCAGCAGCGACATTATTATATTGTATTTCCAAAGTTCTGTTTCTTCTGGCTAATACTTTTATTTTATTAAAGACAGTGCCTGCCCTCTAACAATGATCGGCAGACCTCACTTGTTTCTTTGTAAAGATAGCCTTTTAGAGTCTGCTCTCTTTTTAAATGAAAATAGGGCAGCAGTTATGGTCACACTTTTGTTAATTTAGTTGCCAGTCAGCTCCAAATCAAAAGAAAATAAGGCTGCAGAGTGTAATTAACATTCAGTTCAGTCGTTTTGTCCCTTGTCTAGCCCCCTGAGCTTTGTTAAAATTGCCATCTGAATGCTGAAGGCTGTAGGGAAATCGATTTGATTCTAATCGCACCATGAAAAGAACATGATCTAACTGCTTTCAGCCCTCCGTAAATCTGTACTAGGTCTTTAGCACAATGCAACTTCCAATTTAAAAAGCACTGAATGTCTCGTCAATGACTTTGTGAAGAAAAAAGAACAAGGAGCAGACATAAAAATTCCAATAGTTGTTTAAGCATTAAAGCTCATTTGCATCACAGCAAACCTGAAAAGGGCTGACCTCTCAAACCGCCTCTCAGGTCTATGAAGTTGTAGCCTTGACAAGCTCACATTGACAGAGCTCATTGACTCTGAAAGGCTACTCTATCAATGGTGAAAAATGGCAATAGGTTCTACTCCGAGCAGGCATCTGCCTGCCCACCCGCTGCTAAACCAATGGCAAAACTGATTCAAAAATGTGAAGCTACCTTGTAATCTTCCTTGCCAGAACCTTTTAAATAACAGATTAAGACTGCTGTACAATTTAACTTTCATTGCAGACACAGAGGGGAAGGAGAAAAGATGCAAAGGAAACCAACTCCTCAAAAACTATTACAATTAAAACACTTTACACTTTAAATAAGAAACTGGATGCAGAAGACTGAAGATTCTGAAAGGGGCCTGAGACAAATTTCACAGTTAATTATGGTTACTGTTATCAGGAGGATTTTTTTTTAAAGTAAATGGTTTGATAGGGCATTAAATTCTAAGGAAATGTATTAGCTTTTTTTTTTAATGCAGCAATTCAATATTAAGCAAACATTATATATGTCTAAGACAAACTGTGCCTTATTTCCTTTTAATGCATCCTCTCTTCAAAGACTCACAGTAGATAACACTGTGTGGAGTTCAAGGCAACAAGAACACCTAATTTTTGTAAATTTCTTGTACCTATGGCACACCCTATTTAAAAATTACTCAACCAGTACTCAATCCCATCAGCTATACAAACAATGAATGAAAGTTTAAATGAAAAATTAGCTAGTACTTCTCAGCTTGGGGAAGAAAAGGTGAATTAAAGAGCATCGCACAATTCTTTAACCAAGCTTGCTTTTCCCTACTTGACAGGTGAAGAAGGAAAAAAAAGACTTGCACGTGCAGCTTAATTAATCACTGCACTTGACAGCTCAGTGATTTACAGTGGGGAGCAGGTGAAGACATTCAAAACCCCTAAGAGACTCTTGATTTGAGTGTAACACTCAGATGACAACCCTGTAGATTCTTCATCAATGGCATACAGAAAACTCAGAAAGCACATTTGCTGACAACAAAGCACAAGTTAAGTGGAAGAGTGCTTATTAGGAAGGCTTAGAAACTAACTACAGTTGTTCTTTCTTTTTTCAAACTGATATGCAACCAAAAATAAATTTTGCATCTTAAAAAAAAAACCCTGTATCAGGAAACGGAACCTGAATTATTTGTGTGAGCCATCTTAAACAAATGTAGAGGCAAGTAAATAAAGGAACTACATAGGACTGCAACACGCAAAGATTTTCCTATGCATGTTTCCTGGGAAGTAAGCTTACTGAATTTGATGCAAGTCCAAAATAAGTATGCATAGGACTTCAGACCCTTTCCTCTGGATTATATTCTGTTGTAGAAAGAATAATTTAGTAAAATGAAAAATCCAAGTTAAAAATTTAAGATAAAACTTAAACCATTTAAATAAAACATGACTAAGACCACTCTTAATTAATGCAACTTTTCATTAAGCAGCCAAACATCTTATGAAAATCCTCCTCCCACCTGCCACTAAATTTCAGACAATTGTTTTTGGATTCGGTGCTCCCTATTCTAAGGCTAAAGGTTGCTACTACTGTAGTTACCTCAGTTGTTGTAATTAATTAATATCACAAGCATACAAGTGCATAGAGGAATACAACTTCAAGGACAGGATGGAAGTGACACCCTCCTTCCTGGAAGGCTTAACCTTCCAAACAAAATATTAGCAATATTTGTGCAAACTCTGCCATCAAAAGCTAGCACAGGTCAGCAAAAGATGCTCAGGGCTCTATCATGATGATATGTATTCTACTGAATATACAAGCTACAACCCACATTTCCCCATACATATACATGTAGTGAAATACACGTATATATGACTAGCTGTAAGTAGCTTGGTTTCCTATATTATAAGTAGAAAAGCACACACAATGAAAAAAAGCCCTATTTCAATGCTTTGAAAAGTCTTTAGGGAAAGAAAACCCATTCTTCTAGGTCAACCAAACTGAATACTTCTTTATGTGAGGGACTATGTATGATTTGATTAGGGATGTTGGATGACTACAATGGGACATGAAGAGTTTATCTATACAAGCCTGAAGAGCTTCAGTCCATTACACATTGCTCTTTAATCAGGATTTGTAAATAATAATTTAAAATGAAACAAAATGTCACTTTATAGAGAATATGGCTGTTAGGGAAGCATTTTGTAATTGCAGGTAGTTAACTTACTTCTAAGACTTACATACTAGGAAATGCTGTATAAAGCCTTCATGTTTGGATATAAGGAAAAATGGTAGGGTTCAAAAGTAATGTGGAAGGGCCAGAATTTAACAGACGGTACAAGTGTGGTCTGTGATGGATAGTTACCTACTACAGGATTTTCCAAGTGTATGATAGTAAGATATATGCCTAACCAACTTGGCTAAATAATTAACCAAACTCTGGTGGAAATTGCAGGATGATCCTATCAGTAATAACTAATGAAGCTTCCCAAGCTCAAAATTATTGATGCAATGCAATGTCTGGCATGTTCACAGTTCTCTAATGTACAATGAACCTTCATGCTGTTCCTTAAATTGCATTTAAATTTAAAACATTCATTTTTGTCCTAATTCAGAGTTAATTCATTTTTTCTGTGTCTGCTTTGTGTTGTCTGCAAGATTTGGGGCATGGGTAGTCCTAGTATACTTACAGTAATACAAGGTGATTTGAGGGCTTTCTTGTGAACTTTCTTTTGAAAAGTACTCTCGGAGCATTTAGGAGATACAGCTCGTGATGTGTACTATCAAAACAGAGCAGGAATTTCCACTGCACATGACACTATGTGATCATATAACATTGTTTCCAAGAGCTGCAGTGACACAAGAAAAGATGGCTGACCCCATGGGCAAAATCTCACAACAAAACATTCACTGAACTTAAAATGTTATATTCATATCATGGTGAGCAAATGACGAATGGGGTCGGCTTAGCCATCACTACTGCTCAGAATTAGTTGGAGAAGCACCAACAAAGAGCCTATAAAATGTTTACATTGCACATCAACAGTTTCTTTTTCTGCAGTAATTCATGCTATTTTTCTAGAAACTCTCAATAGTACTCCTCCCAATGAACTTGCCATCAACAGAGAATCACCAATGCTAAAGTATATTTTGGACATTTAAAACTGAAAGTTATCAGAGGATAGATTAACAAGAAGCAGTTTTTTAAAAATACAGCTCTTCTTTTGTTGTAGTTTGAAATCTAGCCACAATTAGTAGTAACCACAATATCATATGAAAAATACCTAAGAAGTATTCCAAGTTAGAGGCTTTTCAGAAATCTGTGTTGTAAAACAGAGTAAGGCACGCACGGGGGAAAACAGTAACAAACTTGAAACAGATTATGGGACAACCCACATGAATGAGTTAAGTGCAGTCCAACTTACTCTTTTACTGAGGCAAATAACTGGCCACATACTACAACCTAAAGTACAACAGCAGCAAAGGCAGCCACAGAGTAGCCATCGGACATTAACAGGAAGGTTCTTCTTAAGACAGCTATTCACTCTGCTGATGCTGGCTTTAAACTCCTCAGGTGCAACCTGCAAGAAATAACCATAAGGCACTGTGATAAGAATGCTTCTAAGGGCTGAGTTAACCCCCCATCCCACGGCTCTAACAACAACATGGAACTGACTGAATTCTAATCTCCATCAGTTCTGCTGGCCAATTTTCTCCCATGGATGCTTACTTTTCCTGTTAATGATGAAGGAAACTCTGCTTCAAATTTGTTGCTTAGGCCAAACCTACAAACATAAAAGGAAGAAGTTATTTCACTCCACATGATGCAACCAATGGATGCTTCACACTTTAAGTATCAATTATATTGCCACCGTCAATGTGTCAAGCTTGAAAATGAATTTTTGCTGAGGAACTACAGTGCACAGCATGGTTTTCAGAAACATAAGCCAACAGATACTGGAATCTACAAACACTTCCCTCCTTTCACATTTCACATTTATAGCAACAAGTGCTATTGCAGCCCTAACACAATCGTACATAGAATTGTGAAACATCTCAATTGCAAAATATCTTCAGGCTGGTTAAGAAGTGTCCTACCAACATGAAGAAGGAACAAACTTATGTTTTAAAGACTTCTCTATTTGCCTGGCTTAAACAAAAGTAATGTTTAATGTTACAAGTTCAAAGAAGAAAGATTTTGAAAAGAACAAAACTTCAGGATTTTTAATATAATTACTTTTTCTTAAGTTTCCAAGTCAGCATGGTTCTACCATCTGGAGCATTCATACTTTAATTTCCACATTCTTCTCACTCATCTGAGGCTGTCTTTTCAGTTCTAGGATTTCTTTATTTTTATAGAACTGCACACTGTATCTACAAAATTTTCTTTCCTCAGCTTATCTTCATCTCATTTCCTGTTAGGGAGGCATGTGCTGTTATAACTAGCTTATGATTCTGATTAAGTGACTGAGATACTTTTCTAATGACACCCGCTGCTAAATTTGTTGTTGTTTCAATTGTTTTGCTTTGTGTTTTTCTTATTTTTCTGCAACCCACTTAACAAAAATAAATACAAGCAATGTATTTTAGTATAAATAAAATAAATGTTATGGTAACATTCCCAGATATAGTACTACAAATGCTGTTAGATACTTTGACTTGGGAGGAGGAAACATGCTCACAGCTTATATGCATACTGTAAGGAGTACTTTGATCATCTCTCTGCATCCAAGCATCAAGTACCAGTGAAATTTTTCAATTAGTACTAGAAAACATAGAAAGAAGGTTGAGAATTCTGTATCTGTATACCCTAATAAAGTATACTGATGAACGATAGTGACTGCAGGGTGGGAGTATTACTGACACCTCTGAAGACTAGGATGAATACATGGACTGGACTAATTCTTAAGATACCAAAATGAGATGAAAAGAAGCTACAGTATCTACATTAATGTTTATCTCCCTACAACTCTCAGTGTTCCATTAAATAAGTTATACCCTTCAATCACACCCAAGTTGTTAATCAGGCTTATAAAACGAACATCTAAAGAGTAAGCCAAGGAACTTCAGCAGAAGCTCTGTAAGTAATCATGTCATCCTTAACCATAAGTGACTCTGCAAGGTCAAGCGGCTGCATTCGAAATATCTTAAGCTCTTAGGGCATGTGTTATTCTCTCATCTTGACCTCCCTCTTTCTAGTAGTCAAAAAAGTCTGACCTTTTGCTCCCAAGAACACAATTAACTGTGGAGAAGAGATTATACCATAAAAAAAGAATCATAATGAACCATGATGGCCTGATAATTAGCCACTAATAACTCCCATGCAGAGAATAAGAACATAGGAACTAGAATAAGTGCTCTACAGAGTGTTAAAATATGTGCAAGACTTCAGGAACTGGTGCTGCAGTTGTCCTACCATAGGGACTGAAAGTTATTTCATGCTGGAGGAACTAAGGCTGAACAGCTACAAAGTTCTGCATACTTCAGCTACAAATATACTTGGGGCATCAACCTCTCACTGACAGGGATATCAAAGCTTCCACAACACAAGGAAACATGAAATCTAATCCATCTTGACCACTACAAAAACCTTAAGGATTGGAGTTTACTTGGCTCTTTTGAAACTCAGGCCAGGACTGCCTCACAACAACAGCCAACAGAGCAAATGAAACCAATAACTGTAATTTAAGTTCAGTACGTAAGTGTCCCTTTAAAAATATGAGCAGCCTTACAATTATATTACTTTTATATATTTTACGTAAGATAAAAAAGTCACAAGAAAAATGAGCATTTTTGTAACTATAATAAGGTACAATGGATCCCAGATCATATTCAGTGTTGTAGCAAGCTGTAATTTCATCTTATGGACCAAAACTGCTTTTCCATAACAACCACCACCTTCATGTTGGAGCACTTACATCACAACACAGCACCCCTCTCTAATGCAGAGGTGGACTATCACATACAGCACTGTTCTTATTTTATGTGCTTCCTGGCAGGATACCATCCGGCACCACCTACGACCACTGCCACAAGAAAGACTGGTAGGCTCTTGATTATGATTCTAGGTAGCACAAATGTATTTAGCTGCAAACCAATATATTTATTTGTTATACCAAGAAATTAGGCAAATTTGTTTAAGAATCCATAATCTACAAAATAGAAAAATCTGATTTAAATCAATCCATCATGGCAGCCAATATTTCAGTAAGATCAAGTCATGAGAGACAGAAAGCAAGTTCTCCATTTTCACAGTTTAACTGTTTTCTTACTGTAGAAGTGACCATGTTCAGTGAAAGCCAGGAAATATCTAAAATTGCAGGATTCAAGCTGTATTTATTAGTACATACATGCATAAACACAAATACAGCTATCCCTTTTCAGTGCAAGGGCTGTTATGACATGTCCAAAAATCTATTTGAATGTTTCCTCTTTATTTACCAGCTTTAACATATGCGCTATCCAAAGACAGTGGCAGTTGTCAGCAAAGCAATACCAGTACGTTCTACCATACCAGTCCTACACTTTAGATTGGTCTCCTCTTAAAACACTGATTTTCTAACACAGCAGTTCAGAGGAACAGAACTAATTCAAGTCTCTCCCCGCACCCTCTCAGAGTTCCCTTTCTCTTTCTGCTGAGCCATTCCAACAAAGACTTCCAAAAGAAAGTAGGTAATTAAATCATTTAATACTACTACAACAGTTAACACCATTTTTAAAACCTAGAGTTATTATTCCATATGTGTTCTTCAGGTCTTGTGCGAGAAAGAAGTTCAAAAGCTACAATCCTATATCTTCTTGCCTAGAAGGAAGCCCCCACTGAACTCAATGGGATTTGCTTCTGAGCAGGAATGTAGAGGGTTGCACTGCAACTTAATTTACACAGGCCCCATTGAAATCAATATCAAATGTCAGTCATAATTAAATTAAGCCCCACTGATTTCAGTGGGAACTCAGTGTCAGCCTGTCCTGACCAGGCCCAAACTCTTAGCAAAAGTGAGTCACACATTTCAGTCCATGGCTCCTCTCTGATTTTGAGGAGGAGTGCCCCCTGCCCCAAGACACCTACATAACTTTTCCTTTCATTTTCTCAGGAGGTGGAATATTTAAGCAACTATTTTCATATTATGACTACAACCCCTCATAAGATCAATAAGGAATTCAGTCTTGCAAAATATTTAATAAGTATTCAGCTCCCAAGCCAGTACCAGTTCACAAATCATATTATGTGGTGACTGAAGTCCCTTTAAAATCCTAGTTTCAACTGGAATATTACTGCAGAAATATTTTAGATCTTTCCTGTGTTATTATTTTCCCTAAATGCTTGTAGAAGTACTACAAACAGAAATCAAGTTTGAGAACAACCTTGTACAACACTCAGTTAAAGTCTGATATAAAATATACCAGATACAAATCAAAGTGTCAGTACTGATTTAGAGATGCTGGAAATGAACTATAATTGGCCACAGAAATCTTGAAACACTGAAAGATAATCTGAATTATCAGAGTGTTATCTGATATGACAGAAATGTCTAGAAAATGGATACAATTATTTTAAGAGGTTTCTTTTTTCCAACAAGGCATGTAATGTACTCTATTTCAAATATGGATGCTTTTGAAAGAAAATAGTATTAAGAATTGTATTGACACAAAATGACAGTTAAGGAATTCAGTTTATGGATTGTTGCTCAATCTAGAAATAACAGTAAGACAATTTCAGAATAAGTGGGAAAGGATTTTGAAATAACCAATTTCAAATATCTTCAGAAATAGTTTTGGAAAAACATATCAAATGCTGATATGTCATTATAATTGTAAATGCTTCACAAGCACTATTTCAACTGAATCTAACCAAAAAGGATCAGTATATAGTTGTTGCTTGAAGTCTGAGAAGAAAATGACCCCAGTCATAGATAAAATTTTAATATGTGGCCTCGTCCCTCCATAACCTAGGAAGCATATACACTGTTACTCATATCTCCTGGGAAGACAAAATTATATTTCCAGCTAGCAGTTTTCCCTTGAAGCCAGCCCATCTTTAGTTGATGTCTTAGTCAAAGTACTTGTTGCTCCCAATGGTTTTTCCTTCAGACCAGATTTTCTGAAATCACCACCCAAACCAAATCCTCATCAACAGGAAGACTGGTTTACAGCCTGATGCTGCACACCAGCCTCTCTCTGCCTCCAGCTCCTCCTACTTCTTGAGGCATCTAAGATTATTTGGATGTTTTAGGGACTACTTGCTCAACTTCCCTCTGGTCAGACAAACTAGTAATCTAATATGCATTATGTATAACTTGGTTGGCTCATAAAAATATCATGTTTGCTGTATCATTCAAGTAAGAACGAATTTATTCAATTGACTCTGAAATGTTTTAAATTCGCCAATAATCTAACAAACAAATCAAGTAATGCACAATAATTTTATGTTCCTAAAGTAAGTAAGAGTGCAATACTAAAAATATCAAAACACAATATAGTCCTAAGACTCCTATGCTGGCTAGGGAGCACTGGGAGCTGTGGCACTTTTTCCTGATTGACATGCAAAGGAATGCACCTTAATCATGCCTTGATTAGAAATTAATTTTAAGCTGTCCTTCTGACCTGCAACACTTGAACTTTTCCATGCATCCATATCATCCCAATGTACCTGTAAACATATCAGTGGTCACTAGAGCTTTGTGAAAGAGAGCTCCTTGAAACTCTTCATCTGTATTAATACAACAAAATGAGAGTCCTAAGAAGCAGCAGCTGCATCAAGAATGACAGCTACACAAACCTTGTA